TCTTCGCTGCGCTCAACTGGTGGCTTGCGTCGTCTTTCTGTCGCATTTTAGATTCAATCTAAGAAGTAAAAGAAGAATTCAATCTGAATATTTATTCTCTGTGGGGATTTTGCAGGTAATACTGAGATGAATATGGTGGCGGGATTTTGAAATGTTAAAATGTTAAAAAGTGGGAAATGCAAATCCCGCTAAAATAGGGTTCTACAAAAATAAAAGTCATAAAAAAAGAAAAAAAACTGGAATTATATCTTTGCCCCACAACTATACAAATTAATAATTTATCCCCCTTTACTCGTTGGGTGTGGAGCAAGTTCGTATCAACCATTTTGACTTGTGATGTATTCTGATGAACGAAATTTCACAAGTGCAAGATATTATAGACGGAGGTATGGACACTTCTATATACATAATTTATGTATATCGGGACTTATTTATTATAGACAGGTAATATAAGCCACATTTGGTAGGGATTTTTTGTTCCAAAAAATTGATTTTTTTTTCCAAAAAATTGATTTTTTGTTTTTTGACCGTTATTTCACTATTCAAGCTGTAATTTTTTACTTCTTCTATCACATGTGGACCCCACTTTTCTTCTAACGGTCAAAAAATCAATTTTCAAAATCCCTACCAAACGAGCCCATAATAGTGATTTCGAAAAATTATGTACTTCAATACTCGATATACTTCTAATTAGTAACTTCAGCGAAATAGCCAACTTATAATTATTGTATAACTAAGATTTCTATTCCCCCTTTATTATGTCATTATAATACAACTCAAAACCATTACAATAATTGTTTAGTCCCGTTGATTAACATTCACATTTTATTTAACAAAGGCACTCGAGTAAAATTAAAAATGTTCTTAAAGGGGTGTTTGATAGTGATTTTTATGTAAAAATGTATTTTAGAATAGTTAATTGATGTGAAATGTGTGGTTGAAAAATAAGAAAAAGTTTTTTGATTTACGTATAATATTATTTTAATAAAGAATGTGTGATTGAAAAGAAGAGAGGGTAAAATGCATTTTAAAAAAAATGGCTACTAAACGGGGCCTAAATGTGACTTTCGCATGTCTATATACAAAATGCGAACATAAAATAATGCATTACAAATACTACAATATATGTTGAAGTCATTCAAGACATAGTGATATATCTCTATATTCTATTGGACCTCACAATAATTATTATAAAGTGTTATATTTCTTCTTTTTTTTCCCTTGAAAAAAATATCAATCAAATTAGCAATCAATTAATTGAAAAACATTAAATACTATAACAATCATCTAAAATAAACAAACATCTAGGGGTGAATGCGGTTTGATTTGGACCGTTTGTGCTATATTTTCAATTCAAACTATTTTATGCCGTTTGAAATTTTTTCAAATCAAATCAAACTATTTTATTTTTCGAATCAAACCAAATCAAACCATAATTTGCGATTTGGTTCGATTTTAATCCGTGATTTACCTATCGATATTATAATAATATATTTAATATAAGTTAACATATAAGTTTAAACGAGAGCTAATAATGTTAAATGTTAAATTACATTCATATTTACTATGAAACTCATGAATAAATTATTTTAAAGTTGATTGCTAAAATATTTTAATAGAACAAATACATCTTTCTTCATTTTTATTTACCTTTTCTTGTTTTACATTCATATTATCGTATAGCAGTTAATAAAGGTATAATTACGTTCTATTATTATAGCTTGGTTAAGACTCATTTTCGTCTTGCTAGTGAGATGTTAAATAAGGATTGAACGGAATATATTTAGATGTTCAAAGATTAATTGAGTTTCGGTTTATTGGGAATTAACGAATTTCATTCTCTAGCTATTTTATGAAAGTAGAAAGTAGTAGTACTAGTTACGAAATTTTAATATTTTCACACAATCAATACGATCCGTCTTTCGTTTTTTCCAAACCATAAACAAGTTTATTAATCATCTAAGCACACTAATAGTACTTTTATATCTAAACCACAATTCACAAGTTTATAATAAGTTCAGAAACAATAAATAAAAGAAAGAACAACGAAAAAATGACTTAAACGAGAATATGAGATTTACCGAAATAGAAGAGAAAAAGAGGTGATTTGGGAAGAAATTAGCAGAATAACATGTAAAAGCGACTGGTGATTTGTTCAATAGTGGCAGACAAGCGTCAAATGTTAGGAAAATGAGAGTTTATGTTAGGGCTTTTGAAACTTGGAATATGATTTGTTGACGTAGTTTTGTTGAATTATGATTTAGATTGTTAAAAATACATGTTTTTTTTTTTTTCAATTTCATATGATTTTGAAATAATTTTAGTTTAGTTTAGATATCAAGTGTGCACGTATATTGTGAACTTGTTAAATCATTGGTCAATAATAATGAATCTAAATTAGTTTCTATGACTATTTCAATAGGCTGGTTATAATTTTTATTGCTAAATTTGTATTTTTTTTTCTAAAAAGTGAAAACTTAAAATTTTTAAGTTAATAAAATTAATATTTTAATTAAAAAAATTTAAAACGGTTTGGTTCAATTTTGTACGATTTTTGAAAATCAAAACCTAAACCAAATCATTTTGAAACGGTTTAGTTTGATTTGAGGGGAAAAAAATCACGGATCTACGTGGACCCAAACCAACTGTTTCAACTCAACTGTTTTGGTTCGGTTTACAATTTCACGATTTTTTTGTGCAATCCTACAAACACTAATGTCAAATTCTTAAATTTAATACCAACATCTTCATCTATATCATATGACTGAAAGAACACAATGCCTCTTGGCATGTGATCGATGCCTAAACTTCTGGTCTTCATTAGTTTGGTCCTTGAAATTCTTTATTCATTCGGCTTTAGTCGTTTTTATATGCAATTTTAGTGATTTATCTTCTAAATTCATCCATTTTACTCCATGTAATCTTCGCTCATCATTCTTTGTTCCGAATTATTTTTTGAAGTTTTGCAATCTAGCCCTTGAACTTTATAATTGGTTATTTTTCCCTCTTTGGCCAACTTTCACTTCGTTTAATCAAAAGTCATCCAAGTTCGAGGTTATCCCATAACAATCTATATTTCAAGCGTGGAGCCTAAGAATTGATATTATGATAAACTAAAATTTAAAAAATTTCGATTGCACTCACGTCTAAGCTTGCGCGTGGTTTGGTTTGGGTCGATTTTCGACTCCAACTTGAAACTGAAACCAAAACCAAAACCAAAACCAAAACCAAATTAGTAGGTTTGGACGAATTTCAACACAAACCAATTACCAATCCACTCTAGCTTTTAAATCAAACCGAACCAAATCGAATCGGTTGGATTATGTTCGGTTAGTTGGTTTGGACTTTTAGTCTAAATTGATTTAAAAAAAAAAAATTGTTTGAGTTTTGGGCCCACTTAAATTACAAGAGCAAAAATAATCAAATAATTTTATATAACAAGAACTATTAACTAACAAATAAATTCAAATTAATACAGATCAACATATTTTTTTTACACTGCCCGACTACCGAAAAAAATGCTGAGTAAAACCTAATGAACTTGTGAAATGAAATTTTCAATGCTATTACTTATAGGCAACATCATAGATTGGAGAAAATTTAAATATAGTTATGGGATTAGGGCTATCTTTTGATTTTTATTTTTTTAAAAAAAAAAAAGAAAGTAAACATGTAAGTGGGTTTGAGTTGGTTCGGTTAACTAACGATTTGAGATTTCAAACCATAACTGAACCGACTCACAATGATTCTATTTAAAAGAAAACTAAATCAAACCAATTACTTGTGTCGAACCGACCCAAACCAACCCAAGTCAATTTGATTTGATTGGTTTGGTTGATTTTTTGATTTTTTTGCCCAAACCTACTCATGTCGCAAGAGGCTAAATTCACGACATTCACGATAAAGAGTGTACAACACTCAATGAAATAAAAGAACTCTAGATGTTTTATCATCCACTAAATTTCTTTTACAAGTTTTATCAAAAAAGTCGACACTTATGTTAAAAAATGTAAACTAACCGAACCATGATCGGGAATAAGCAAATGATATATACCCACCAATAAAAAACTAAGAAATATTTTTAATGAGTATTTATTCTAAATAATTCATTATTGTTAAAGCCAAAAACTGGAAAAAAAAAAGGTTCTATAATTTATATTGATATATAAACTTGAAATAAAAAATATTTTTATAAGAGGGGAGCATCTTTAAAACTAAAAGAAAGTTTAAGGTCTGTCCCCATTATTTCCTAATAATGCATTTCGGGATAGTAAATTGCTCGACAATGTGTGGTTAAAAAATAAAAAAAAAATTTGAATTTTTGTGTAATATTATTTTATTGAAAAATGTGTGATTGAAAACAACAAAGAAAAATATATTTTGAAAAGAATGAGAATCAAACAATGGCATGTCTCTATAATTTGCTGTGAAGTAAAAAATAAAAAAATAATAATAAAACAAAATGAGCCCAAATTTTTTTTAAATTCTTTTTTTGTAAAAATTAAATTTAGGAAATTGGAGCCATGAACCTTCCTTCCATATCGTTTGGCCAGATGGACTTCTGATACAGATAGAATAAACACATATGTAGAATACACAGCCTTGTCACTTACTTTTGTTTTTGAAATCCTATGCATGTTTATCTCATCCACAAGCATTCCAACGATGTTTCAATTCTTCGGTAGCGAACTTTTTGATAGCATAGAAATACCACTCGCAATAAACTTAAGTTCCGTTTGGTACACATTAATGTAAAAATGAGAATGAAAAATACAGTCGTTACGAACCCACACAAGAGATAGAAAGTTAAATATGGTGACTGAATGTGATAGATAATGATCACATATTTCATTTTAATGAGTAAAAAATGAGAAACAAACGAGACTTATATTTTTCCCTTTAAAATAAATATTTATAAACTTCAAATAAATTCTTTAATCTCCCAAGTTGCAATCCCTATGTGAGAAGTTTTGTTATAATAGGACAGTCTCTGATATCAAAATCCCCCAAAAGGGCTGAAAAAAATAGAAAAATTCAGAAAAAGGGTCGCGCAGTTGCTATCCTCTTGGTTCCCAGACTGCAGCTCTTTTTACACCGTACCTCTATCTGTCTCCCTCTCTCTAAACACTCCAGAAATCCTTTCATTCTCTCTCTAAGATTACTCAATTCTCCATCTTCATCGTCCTCTCTCCACTGGAAACACGATATTGGAGCAAGTATAGTTAGAGTCGGTATGATATACATACATGTAGTGATATATATCGATACGGATACATATAGACGAGAATACCCTTTTGAATCCTTACAGCCCAAGCACTTGGAAACAGTCAGTTTATTCTTCCTGTTGTATATATGTTTGTGTTTGTTTACGTGTTGACTACTTGTGTTAGTTTAAAAGTTCAATTCCTCGAGTTTACTGTGCAATATTGATTTTTCTACACCTCAATTTCCTGCAGTTGTCTTGCTTATTTGTTGATTTGTCTTACATTTTTAATCAAGGGTGGGTTTTAGGTTTCTTTGTTCTTAATTTCTTGCACTGTAATGCAAATTTATTGCTGTTGCGAAATTAGTGTTTATTTTATTGTCAGAATCCATGGCGTCGTATCAGGAAGCTTCTCACTCGGAGCCCGCAAAAATGGAACAGATAATTACTGAATTCTTCGCAAAAGGCCTTCACATAATTCTTGAATCTCGGTGTCCTTATGTTTCTTCCCGTAATTATAGCTGTGAACAGGTTTTATCGTCCCCATCCCCCTCCTCATCCTCGTCTTCCTCCTCAAGTTTTTGGCCGAGGGATAAGTGGTTTAATCTATCTCTTAGGGATTGCCCTGCTGCGTTAGAAAACATTGACCTGTGGCGGCAGAGTAATTTAGAACCGATGATAATTGATGTGATTTTGGTTCAGAGGCCAGTCAACAATGACCAGATAATCTCTTCCTCAAAAAGTGGACACGCAAGGAATTTCTCTGGGAAGGAGAGGGTCTATTATAGTTCTGACAATGAGGAATTTGGCAGTGACACAAAGAGGGAAAAGATTATCGAGAGGTGGGTTTTACAGTATGAGAGTAAGAGAAGTGGTGTTTCGTCAGGGAGTAAAAGGTCAACTTGTTATTCTCACATATTGTTTAACAAATTGATATTGTTAATGAGGTCCTTGTATGCAACAGTTAGGCTTTTGCCTGCTTATAAGTTGTTTCGTGATCTTAATTCATCTGCTCAAATTCGAAGGTATAATCTTGGTCACCGAGTTTCTTCCTTTGTTGAGCCATTCACTCGTATAGAAGAGGCAGATATGCAGCGGTTTGTGTTTACTCCAGTTGACACTTCTTGCGGTAGGCTTTGCCTCTCTGTCTTGTATCATTCATCAGTATTGGATGTGAGTTCTGAGCCATCAACCCCAATATCCCCACAAGTTATACAAGAATATGTTGGAAGTCCATTGGCAGAGCCACTGAGAAAGTTTTCATCCCGTCCTATGTCTCAAATGTCCCCGGCTTCAGCTCCATTTGGGAGGCGCCATAGCTGGGGCTATGATTTGTATAGAGCATCATCACCTTTACTAAACCCATCACCCTCACCCACGTATTCTGAATCTTATGCTTCAGTATCAAAACAGCGTTCCCGTCTTCCTCCTGCAAGTTTACCTCGTCAATTATCTGAGAATACACCTGCAATTCATGTGAAAAATCCAAGTTTTGATGAGTATTGGCCTTCTCCTACATTTACGCCATCTCCGTCTGCATCACCACCCATCTACATTCCTGGCAGTCACGTCTCAAATGTTCTTTTACGGTCTGAAAGTGCCCCTGTTAGTATACCGATATCTAGTCGGGCTGGTATCTCTTCATTACCCAACAATCAAATGTTGCCTCCCTCACCTCCCATGAAAGCTACACGATCCAGTGTTGTTAAGACAGATGCACGTTCTGGCCTGTACAAGACCAGCTCAACAGCTGACAAGGTATTCATTATGATTATCATGTGTAAAATTCCTTTCCCTTCTCTTCAAGTACTTCAATCAACACTTCTTTTTGTTTGTCACAGTTGCTCTCTTTCGAGAAAGATGAGGTTGGAAGAATGTCCAGGGTGGAATCTTCATCAAATATCTCGCCACCTAAATCATTCTCTAGAAGCTCCAGTAGGTTCTCTTATCAGGATGATTATGATGATTCTGAGTTTTCTGGACCGTTTGTTGTGGATGATGATGACATGACAGATCTAGGTACCAGGTAATCATACGCCATTCTTGGTTGAAATTTGGTAAATTTAGGATCAAGGCATATGTTGCTCAATTGTTATATGGATAATTCATGAGTGCATGAATTTGTTGTCTTGCTATTGTTGTTGATGTTTGAATCAGAAATTTAGCACCCTGGTTATATATAAGATCTAATCAAAAGGTTGATGCTCAGAGAGGTAGCAAATTTATCAACTTGAAATATTGTGTTCCAACCAAGCTGAAAACTGATTAAGTATTCCACGATAAGAGACATAAGTGAATAAAGATGAAAATACTATCCAAATAACTGATACGTATAGAATTATAGCATACATAGAAGCAAGTCAACCTTGATAGTGATCTGGCATATGTACCATGCTTTTAAAAACTGTATGCACCTTGATCTTGAAATTATGCATGAAAAGGTACTAAAAAAGCTGTTTACCACGGTGTTTAGATAATTGTATACTGAACCTGTCATCTCATTTCTGTTTTTATTGACAAAAGGAAGGTTTTTAGATAGTCACGTGTAGGAGTATTGCATCTAGAACCTTGGACTGGACTATCTCACCAATTATGAGAGCTTATGTTTAGTTATTTTGCTGAGACAAACTAGTTCAAACTAAGGTGGGTATATGTGTTGCAAAATTGTCGGGTTGCAGGGACAGACCAAATAGGAGATGTGGCAAGGGGCCTCCCTCTGCGAGAAACTGAGAATCTCTGTAGTACGGACACTTCAATTAGGGTAGCATGTCCGTGTCCAACACGTATCAATACCGACACTCCTCGGACACTATACCGTAAATATTTTTCATTTTTTATTAAAAATATTATATATTTGTAACTTAAAATTATTAGTAGATAACAAATAGATACTTATATTTAAAAAATTTCAATAAAAAAATTAATAATAAGTATAAAACTAAACTTATACTATATAAATGAAGGTTTTTAAAGAATTTAATCTACGTGTCAGCAACGTGTTGTGTCGATACTTTTTGAAAAATCATGTGTCGACGTATCCGACACGTATCGTGTCAGACACACGTGTCCGTGTCGGTACATCATAGCTGATAATAGTAAAGTACTGCTGTCCATATAACATTTGTAGCATGATGCCTTCATCCTTATGCCTCAAGATTTTTGTAGCATTTGTTTTACTCTAGATATTGATTATTGATAGATATTGTCCAAATGGTCAAGACCCTGTTGTTAGATAATATGACCGAATAAGTTTTAGCACTGCTGAATCTGGAGTTAGATATCCAGCCAAGATTCAGTATCAATTGTCAAAACATTTTTGTATATTTGGAATGCTCTATCTCTATGTGTTGATATTTTGATATTTTTGAAAACAATCTTGATAGAATCTGGTGGCTGAATATTGTCACTTTCCATGATGACCTTCATCAGTATTACAGCATGCGAGCAGATTATTTGTAGACATGATGTCTTTGCTTCTATTAATTGTACTTATGGATGCTGTCAGCTTGGATATTTGACAGTGCAACTAACTCCTATGATGTCTATTAATCCGAATACTTGTGATAATTGTAATCTCATACTTTTTAATATCTCCACTGCAACTTCATTCTTATTCTATACCTTCTTTTTGATGAGAAATCAATGCACTGTAAATCGATCTAAGACAGTTGTGATGCATAGTTTGCTTTCCTCTAGAAATTCCTTCACGATTCTATTAATTTCTACAATTTAAACACTTCCTAAATTAAAGAAAGTTCATTTGAACACCTGATGAGATGATAGATGTTACCCTATAATCCATTTAAAGACACATGTAAAAACTGTGATCAAGCCTCCTGAAGCAGGAACATACCTATTTGACAATGAACAATATGGCTGTAGATGTTTCAGTGTCTACTTTCCACACCTTCTTGCCTCCGGCATAGATCTCTGAACATCAATAAAATTTCATTGATTTTCTGTCTAGGGACAAGTATTTTTATGTTTTGGTTTTTTGAGAGTTCTATCTGCCAGCTGATAATTCAATAGTTTGGCATTCTTGAACATGTGATTTCCTACTATTTTTCTAGGAGTGGGGATATGTGTATTCCAATGATATGAAGGTTCGTCTTCTTCTTTTGTACAACTCCAGCACTCTAAATACTTGTTTCTATCGCACAATCATTAATTTTAATGCTGGCAATGCGTTCCTGATGAGAACCAACATATTAAGCCAAAACGATGCCTAATATCTGAAATTCACTTTTCTAAAACATTCACCATCCTTTAGTCAAGCTCCTCCTCTTGAGATGATTTAAGTTCTACCAGTTCCTGTCCCATCCAGAACTCGTAAAAGTCCTATTTTTTCTGATCTTTTCAGCCTCAGTAATTTTGATTGTGTTAATCTAAATTCTCATTTTCATTGCATAATGCTGGCAAATAAGTTAAATGTGTAGTTGTCCTACAATAACAGTTCTTGCTAATTTTACAGCTACTTATTGTGTTTTTGTTAGGTAATCAAGTTCTTCTATTAGCTTTGTATTATCTAGAACTGCAATCAAATGGAAACATTGGAATAACTGTTTTTTTTCTTTTGCAATCCTTAATTAACTTCTAGCAAAAATCATTCATGCATCCCCCTTGTGGAAATGATTTGGTGGATTCTGTACACTGCTGAATTCCTGTCTTAAGATTTGGATACCTGTAAAGCCAGTAACACGAGCGGATCAAAAGAAAAATCAAGAGCAAAAGTTTATCTCGTGTACGAGTCTATTCTCTTGTAGATTTTCAATTCCAGCTTTCCTTACAATGTTATTTCCTGCCAATCTGGGATAACTTAAAAATCCTCGGAAAATCCTTCAGTTGTATGTGTTAGCTCTTCTTGTCTTGTTTTAATTAAAGACTTTCAGGTCTTGTAATCGGTGGAATAGTGCACTAATTGCAACGGTTTGTTTACCTTAGTTATCTGGAAGTCATTTCTTTAAGGCTTAGGGATGCAAAAAGACCCACTGGTACCCAACACTAAATGGGTCGGGGATTCTCACTTAATTAGCTCTGTGGGGGCGGGGATGGGACCATGGTGCCAGCCCCGTTTATAATAAAAAAAATCCCCACAATATCATGCAAGCTCGCTCTATTTCTATTATAATTTTTCTTAAGAAAAAAGGAAAATTGATGGGGGAAAAATCTAAACGGGGATGTGGGGATCCCCGTCCCGTCCCATCCTGCCTTAGGCCAGGATCCAGACGGGGATGACGGCGATGGTAATGCCATCCCTGCTTTGGTTATTCCACAAAGAGGTACAAATACTTGGAGAGAAGGTCTTTTTCTTGTGGTAGCTTTCTGCAGTTTTGGTTGTCCCGGAATGCCCCTGTAGTCTTTTTAATGCTAAATGCCTCTGTCCGCTTGTCGTTCAAGTGCTGGAAAAAAACATATAGCCGTTACTTCCATAAAAGCTCATCTGATTCCTGAATATGCTTCGCTTCTCTCCCTCAGCTACGCTCCTTGGCTGTCCTAGTTGGGAGCACAGGAATGTAGTATAAAACGAATTCTTGCTGCATGTTACACCCCGAAGCATGTCTTAGAATTAATAGAATTTCAAGCTTGTTCTTCCAAGATTAGAGCATGAGAGTGGTAGTCGTGGCTTTATTGCACAAATTATACAACTGAATTTAGTGTCCAAAAAAATGCACAAGAGTCTTCATCTATATGGTCTACCTATTTTTTTGCTAGAAGGAGCTCGCCTCATCATCAAATTGATTTCAGTCTTTCATTTAACTAAACTGTTATAGATATCAGTACTTAAACCTGTACTAGCATGTTTGGCAGGACGGATTGGACGGGACTTGATAGTAGTAAGGGGAAAAAAATTAAAACATTGTACATTGCTCTGTTCAATTGTTCGGTCCGGTCTTATGCAGTACTCTATGCCAGACATATCCTACTTGTGAAACAAACTGACATCCTTGTTGTGTTACCAGACCTGGTTCATTTGATCAGCCGGGGCACCCATCCGGATCCCGTGAGAAGGGCAGCCTTTTTCCAGTTAGAAAATCTCAACATGCAGCAGTTGGTACTCTAGTTCAAATGTTGAAGAAGGCACCATCTCTTCACCAAGACATCTCTGTTACATCGAATTTGTTGCAAGGCTCCAAACATGAGATGCCGAAAAACAGCAATCAGGATCCTGATGAAATTTCTTCGACACCAAGGGAACAGCAGTCAACTTCTGTGAATTTTGCTTCTTCTGGACTCGTTTCACCCAAGACTACGGCTGATGCTCTAGAGGAACTTTGTGAATATAAAGAAATGAAAAACTCGATGCTAAAGCAAGGTAAAAGTCCTCAAGCTTAAGCAGCTTCTGCTCCTCCCTTGAAGGATTTTCCTGCGAAGATAATATAGGATTTTGAATTTATCTTGCTATATCTTGAAAATTTGCGAGGAAAATTTTTCAGGGGTTGAGGTTCCATTCCATATTGCTTGAGAAGCAGTTGATGTGGACCAATTTCTTTCTGTACATATTTTTGAGCCAATGCATTATGATTCTGACACGAGGCCTATCTAGTATGTAAATATAACGGTTCACGTGTCTACAAAACTGGATATTTAAATCGAATTCATTATGGTGTTTTAGTTGTATAGAACTTTCAAAAATCTAAAGTTGGTTAATGGATATGTAATGCTTGGAATTGATGTACAAAGTTGTATACTTACATATGTATAAAGATTATTGAGGCTGGATGTGCATTTTATGATATGCCATTTTTGAAGTTTTCACAGAGCCTATGAATATGGGTTTATCTTAGAGCAGGCCCTTCTGAGATCGATGTATTTCTTAAATGACCCCATTTATTTGTTTTTTTCATAAGACGATTTTCCTTCTCCGTTGCTTAAGCCCTATTTTTTCGGAAGAATGAATTTTTGAATAGTGTATAGATGGGAAATGTGTGGTTAAAAAATAAGGAAAAATTTGGGATTTACGTCTAATATTATTTTATTGAAAAATGTGTGGTTGAAATGATGTTAAAATATTGTTGAAAAATGTATATTTCCAAAAAGAACGGGGCTCAAACAAGGGCTAAGGTAAGTAAATAAATTCCCTTATAATTGGACGGAAGATCCAGACCATTATATATATATATATATATATATATAATTTTTACACAATTTTATATTTATTAGTTATAGTTGTAAATTCTTCTCTTCTATGAAGCTTTCTTGCTGAAAAGAATAAAAATCATTTGCGACAGGCAATATTATAATTACGTACGCATTCTTAACAATTTTTAAGTTGTACAACAACTTAAAATGAATAAGAAATTTTTTTTAACTATAAAAATAACAACTAATATTATAAATTTATTTTAATTTATTGTTTTCAAGTTTGATTTATTGAACAACTTTTTTTAATAAATACATAAATAAAAAGTAGTTCTTTGAAAGATTAAGAAAATATTTCTTTTATTAGCAATTATCCTAAAATTCATTGTTTAAAAAAAAAAAAAGGAAAAAATGTCTAAATTACTAATTTACTAGTTTTCTTCACTCATGAAATTTACAAAACTAATTCTTGATTATACTAAACTATATATTTTATTAAAATTCTACCTCATCCTCCAAAAAACAAAATTATTATGGGGGTCAATAAATAGGTCAAATGCAATATGTAAAGAAAAAACCTAGGAAGAGACATTTTTCCACTACTAATAAATTAAAAATAATAATAAACTCATGTAATTAAGTGGATTATGATTTGAGCTTATTTGTTTTATGTGGAGAAGGTCTTATCTTGACTTTAATTAGTGTGCTCATGATTCCACTTCTCAAATTAATAATATTTTGATTTTTTCAAAACAGTATTTTGGTTGGTATGGCAGCTTTCTTTCTGCAATATTCTTTTTAAAAGGTTCCAATTATACTAATATATATATATATATATATATATATATATTTATTTATTTATTTATAATTATAAAGTGTGTTTCGTGTCCAACAAAAAAATGTTCAGATACAATGAATGAAAGGTGAGTAGATTATTGATTCGAAGTAATGTTTATTGAAGATGTATTTCACAAATATAATCGATGGAGAAGGTTTGACCACATAAATAAGCATCTTAGGGAAATAAAATTCCGCTATCAAATGATGTCCTCGTAACTTTTACTTATTTCTAAAATTAATTCATTCGTAGGTCACAATATGAAAACAATACTTAAAAGGGGCAAGAAATAATCAACAAAATGTTTTGTAGATGTAACTTTGCACTCCTTTATTTATTAAGCCCTTCTTTGATAATCATTAACATAATTTTTTTTAAAATTCATTTTTAATTATGCATTCTCAAAATAAAATATTCTATACATAAACCTAAAATTTTTTCTACTGTTTAATCACACATTCTCAAGGAAATACTATTTTAAAATTCATTTTTTTAGGGTGTTTTTGAGCTCTATTCTTTTTGAATAATGTATTTTGAAATTTTAGATTGATGGCAAATGTGTCATGAAAAAGAAAGAATATTTTTTTTTGTTTGAATATAATATTATCGTAATGAAGAATATGTCATTAAAAAGAAAAGAGAAAATGTATTTTAGAAAAAATGAGAATCAAACACCACCAAAAATAAACTCATTTTAATGGTTTTCGAGGCTAAGTTTTTGGTCACTTAAAATAGAATTAATTGTTCTAATGGTTATTGAACTTAGGTCCGTGTTTTCGATTACTCACTGAAATTTAAAATGTCAAGTTTTAGCTATTGAATTTTGAAAAATATTGTACGTCACTCACTAGCATAACTATTGAATTTTAAAAAATGTCGAATTTACAGTGAATAATGTACAATATTTTTCAAAGTTCAATGGTTAAAACTTGACATTTTAAATTTCAGTGAGTAATCGAATACATTAATCTAAGTTCAATCACTAAAACTCAACATTTTAAATTTTAGCTATCAATTAAAGACATGAACTTAAGTTCGGTAACTATTAGAATAATTAACTCCTTAAAATAATAATTGAAAGAGAATGACAAGTGCTGATAAGTATGTTCATTTTGTTTTAGTAGGCCAATTCACATGTACATTACATAATTTGATGTGACTGCTCGTTGGGATCATTGACTCTCATTTACTAAACCAACAAGTACATTTCAATTTTGGATTTTTCTTAACCATTATAGAATTACAATCTCGTCCAATTATAGTAGTATATATAATAATAAAATAATGCTCTATTATAATTAGCATTAATTTTTATCTTTAAATAATGCTTAATTTGGAAAACGTAGTTAAAATGGTTGGAAAAATAACTTCAAGAACATGTAAATATCAAAAAAATTATTCAAGAAACTTGATTCCAAGATCTACTAATAAATTTGATTCACGTTTTAATTAATTTGAATTAATCATATAAAAGGGATACTGAAATTATCCTCGAGCATGATTAGTTCAAAATTCCAAGTCATAGGCCAAACCATTACAATATTTGAACCAAATTCAGATCAATTCGAGATTGTACATATTAGTTTCCACTCGTTCCTCTGAAGACCAAAAATCGTCTCTTAAATCATATAAATCACCTAAGTAATATTATTTCAATTTCCTGCAATTACATCCTCTTAACTCGTCAAATGATTAGATTCAGATTTAAATGGTTTTTTCATAAGCTTGTTTTTCTTAAACAACTTTTTTCATGATACGATCGCAGAACTTATATTCAAGCATCCCGAATATCAAATTCAAATTTAAACTGCTCTCTAATGAAGAACTTCGAGGAACTTATTAACCCACTCTACTTAATTCTCGATTGAAATATTAGTTATATCTATTTGTGCTTCTCAACGTAAACACATGACTCATATTACTATAAAGTGATCGAGTGCATTTCATTGTATGCTCATAAAATTAACGCAACTACTTAAAAAGTGATTGAGTGCATTTCCTTCTATGATTAAAAACAACTAAAACAATAATATACTGCAAATTGTAGGGGTTGTTACATGTCTGTGACATTGCATCAAGTATAGATTAAACCTTGATCTTATGTGCTATATCTATATTATAATTATGAGATGCTACTCTTAAAAAATCGTCCCGACAACCTTTCGTCAACTTAAATTATGGCTTTAATACAAATTCGAACCCACTTTATTCCCAAATTCAATTGTGTTATGCTTGGCATATTCTTTCAAGAGTCTAGAATATTGGCTAAATATGCCCTGATAATAGGCTAATACGTGCTTAATATGATTACATTGGTTCACAAGGATTTTAGGGTTGTTCTATATTTCTATGCTGGACCATAATTAGTAATATAGATAATGTCTATCTTCTAATCAAGCACATTAAGTATATAATAATTGAGCGAAATTATGACTCATGCATTGTAGAAGAATAATTTCTTTGGAAATTATTTAAGTAGAAGTTTTTATAGTTTCATGTTCTTCCTCAATAGTTGTCTCTATCAGCGACTTAAACAATTTAGGGATTTTAAGAAAAGAAAATTTAGGAGGCCATTTCGAAAGCAATGACGTTTGTTTGTAAATGAAACTTACTATAATGGACAACAACTCCGGTGGTAATCTTGAATTATAAATTTTAATTGATATTTTGTTGTCAATGCACTTTCCTTTGGCAATATTTATTTATTATAAATTTTTCATATATTCTTTGCAACGAAGGGTCCGATCTCTAGCCTTCGAGATGAAGTGAGAGACCAACCACCACAAAGCTCTTTCAGTCGGGTCTGGATCTGTCTCCAATCCCTTATCCGGATTCTTTTCTAGAGGGTTCCCTTCCCGAAAGCGAATCTCTATCCGTAGTGGGATTGACCCAGCATAGGGGAAAGGGGGTGAACCGGTCCTCGTGATGCGAGTAAGTGCTATCAACATTGAAGAAAAAATTACCCTGTTTATATAACATAATAAAAAAAGGGTTCCTTTTTCTTGAAAAGAGAACAACTCCTTCTTTGCATCAGTTACCTTTCAAGGCTTTGGGTAGCTATGCCACCCATAGAATTTAAAGAACCTAAAGGAGTATGAGTCATTTATTCTGACTGACATAATTTATATTTGTAAATTAAATTTGTTAAAAATAAGTCAACGGAAATTGTAGTTAGTATCATATATTTTACGTTGCTTCTTTCTCCCAAAATTAATGAGGTAATTGTATATAAGACCATGTTATATGTACCGAATTTTTTTTACCTAATCCCTTGCGGACGACTCGCAATAGTGTATGGGGGTCACATTTTGGATTCTTTTTATTCACGTGGATCTCACATGCATGTGAGAAGGGGTAAAAAAATTTGGTCCTGTACAAATAGAATTATTCTTGTACAGTGATATAATAATGCGAGGTCTTAGTCTTATATAAATGCTAAAATTGTAATTTCATTAAAGCCCCCATGCAAACACGTTATATTTAATAAAATAAGTTAAATTAATAATAAGATTAATTAGAAAACACTAGTTTATAATTGACCTTCTATGTTAGGTCCTGGTCTGAGATGATGAGCAATGGCTACAGTTATTGTGCAAACAACGAATATTTACAGTTGACAAGCAAAATAAAGGCTTCCAATTGGTGGAGCCAATTAAAAGTCTGATTTTTACCATTATTTTTCGAGTTTTGTCACTGCCTTAATTGAATTTTTTTCATCTACCATACTTCCAAATCAGGCGAAAGAGAACTTTTTCCTTTTGCCTGTGAGTGGAGCCTCACATGTGAGTCTAGTATATAGAAAATGTCAATTCGTCTCTGACCATCAAATGAATCGTGAATAACTCATCCTCCCTCACTTTGAAAGGAGGGAAGTGACTCCCTCTTTACCTGATAGAAGCGGATGGATATCCGCCTACCTACAGATTTGTTTGACAAATATTTCACACATTTTTCTTTTTTAATAGTTAATACTATGTAAATCTCGTGGTCGATTTAGAAAGTTGTGCTCATTTCAGCATGTAGATATTCCAATTGAAATCTGTTATTTTAAATGACCTTAACCTGTTCAAGTCTTGTGGTTTACTTGCTAGTATACTCATAAGTTGTTATTATTCCAAGCAAAGTCTTTCTTTAAAAAAAGCTCAAGATTAATTGGTAGCACATGTTTTAAGTTTAGCAGTTATCCTCATAAAACATTAATATTATTTTAATTTTTAGTACTTTTTTAATATTAAACTCCAATATAATGAATTTTCCTATATTCCTATTCACAAGCATTGCAGGGGTTGTCCCAATGTTTGTTTTGTTTTACTAAATCAATATATAGCTCGTTTTTTACGAGTTTATATTTTATTGTGCATTTATCGAGTTTGCTGCAAAACACATACATGTTCAGAGCTCAATCTTGATTTAAAATTAAGTTATTAGGTTTTCATTTCACTCATGTACATAAACTTCAATAATTTTTTTTCATTGCACATGGAACTTTTTATGCGTGTGTAGGCTATTCTCATTCTAAAATAATATTAAAAGTTTGTTTGAGCCCCATTTTGGAACCTAAAACGTATTCGATAATAGTATTTTGATGGAGAATATGTGGCGCGCATGTTCATGTGGTATTCTCCCTCTCAAGATAGAATATGATACCACTACTTTACCTTCATTCGTTCATTATTGCGTGTGCCGAAAAATCATGTCTCTTATATTAGTATCCTTAACTAAAATCCTTGAAAGGGAAACAAGAAATGGAGAAATTAGTTGACCTAATGCTGACAACAATTCACAGGCTGCACGCCACGTGGCTGACTTGTTCTGATTCAGAACAACTGCACAGTAAAATAAGAGGTTATACTGCCGGACTCCAGAAATGATCGGCTTATTGCAAGTAAAATATAGTTATAGAAAATGACTACACTATGAAAGCTTCAATTTCCAATGAAGTTTTTAATTCTTGTGGTCAATGATAAAATTATACATCACATCAAGATTAGGCAAAGATTCTTTCCCATCTGGTTTCTTTTGAATCTGGCATCTTTCTTCATATTTTTAAATTTTTCTTGAAATTCAAAGTTTTACCAGGACAAAAGCAATTTAATTGTTTAAGAGGTTAAACGTGATGTAACCAGCCTCACATTTGAGACGCCGTGTGTTAAGAGTGTGTGTATATATATAGAGAGAAATAGAGAGATAGAGAGAGAACTTTGTAGCCTTGGCGAGTAAAAGTAATGGAGTATGAAATTATTCATTATGATTTGGAGCCAAGCTACATTGATCAAACAAACCCTTATTCCATACAAGATAAAGTTTCCAATGACATCGAAAGATTTCTCCAACTAGAGACAGATTTTATGGACCTCGATTTCATTGAAGAAGACGCCGTTTTAGGTCTTGATGAGAATATTCAAGAAACTACATTACTGGCTGCTGCTGCCTGTGAAGAAATCCTCCACAATGTAGAAACTCAAGAAGATGGTTTGGAGGGCTGCGGCTTAACTGATTTACTACTTCTGGGAGCAGAAGCTATTGAAGCAGAAAACTGGATTTTTGCTTCATCAGTGGTGACAAAACTGAATAATCTACTTTCTGATGAAGAAAATGGAGATAACCCTATTGGAAGATTGGCTTTATATTTCACTGAAGGCCTTATTTACAAGAGTCTTGATTTTCCTGAGTTGCAGGAGGAAACGTTTGGTGGAAAATCTAATCATAACACGTTTTCTGCGTTCCAAATGCTTCAAGAACTCTCTCCTTATGTGAAATTTGCACATTTCACAGCGAATCAGGCTATTCTGGAGGCGACACGGGGCCATAAGGAAGTTCATGTTATAGACTTCGATATCATGGAGGGAATTCAGTGGCCTTCTTTGATGGTTGATCTTGCAGGTACAGAAGATGCTTCTCTTAGAATCACAGCAGTAGTTACTGACCATAAAAATTTAGGTAATATTCAACAGATGAGATTGAGATTGCAGGATTTCGCGAATTCAATTAATCTTCCATTCAATTTTGATCATGTTTTCATGACGACAGAGAAAGATTTTGAAGAAATCAAGGTGGAAAATAGTACAGTAATAGCCAACTGTATGTTGCATCAGCTCCACATGCCATACAAGGACAGTGCAATGGTCAAGACATTCTTAAAAGGTGTACGAAAGCTATGTCCTAAAATTGTCATTTTAGTAGAGGAAGAACTTTTCAACTTAGATAAAGTTTCATCAATGTCTTACGTGGAGTTTTTCCGTGAGGCCCTCCACCATTATGCGGCTGTTTCTGATTCGCTTCAGTCTGGTTTCCATGGAGGTTTCAAATTAGCCGTAAAAATTATAGAACGCAAGTTCCTTAGGACGAGGATTTTAGATAGTGTGAAGCAATTTCCTTGTGAGCAAAGAGAAAGACAACTATGGAAAAATGAGTATCCTTCTATGGAGGGATTTAGGCCAATTCCACTGAGTTCTTGGAATGTGTCTCAAGCCAAGTTCTTGGTGAGTTTATTCAGTGGGAGTTATTGGGTGCAAAATGAGCGGTGCAGATTGGCTTTGTGCTGGAAATCAAGGCCTTTGACCACAGCTTCCATTTGGGTTCCCAAATCTATCGAAAATCAACGAAAAGATCAATTTCTTTTTAATAAATGATTGTATTTTAGCTTTTGATATCCATGCAGCTCGGAGGAAATTAAATTATCATTGTAACTTAGCAGCATTTTTCTTTGAATATCGAAGTTTGAAAATGCTTGCAGCTATTAATTTAATTATGCAAGTAGTTTATTAGTTGCAACTTGTAACAATTTGATGTCAACTCATGACTCATGACTTTTAATATTTTAAGATTAATAAAGAATTAATAATGTATTGGATCCCATCAAAACTCCAAAGTGAAGTGTCCTTGGATATCCGTAATTCAAGAAGTCGTCCTCACATTGCACCTTTACTAGAAAATGAAGACAGACATCTTCTATGATTATTGTATAACCAATCCTCTTCACCAATCCTTTATTTGTATGACAAGTCCTCTTCCCCTCTGTCTTGTTTATCTCATTAATGGTCGACGGTGATGGTAGCGATGATGGACTAGTGAAGACGGTGACGTAGTAATGAAGAAGGCTATATATAATTTTGTAGGTACAGGGATTATGGCGAAGTTGCCGAAGATGGTGGGTTGTGTCAACCCTAACTAAAAGTGGGGTAGGTGATCGTCCAAATTCTTGCCTTGGTGAGGTCCCCCAGTGTTTTATTTATTATACTTACAAATAATAATAAAAATTACAAAGTGAAGTTTTATGTCCTTCAAAGCGTAAAATAAGCTTTTAAAACATTTGCGACTTTTCATTTTATTTTTCTCTTCACGTTTTCAGGCTCAATCTTCTCTCTCTTTCTTTTTTTCCTTTTGCCATCTCTTTTCTTCTTTTGTCATGGAATCTTTAATATTTTATTTTATTTTCTCCGCTCGTTTAGTAATCCTCAATTGCTCACCCCCAAATTCAACCTTTGCAAATTCTCTAGCGTATATTTATAGTCTTTGACAGTAGTATTGACATGTATGATTATTTTGCTTTAATTTTTTATGCCCTCTGTTGGTCACAAATGAAAGAATCTTTCGTTTAAAATGATTTGTTAAGTTCAAAAATTATTAAACTTCAAAAACACAAGAACAAAAGGATTTTTCGATCATAAGACCCCGGAGGCTTAGCGACCCTTTTAACGCTTAGTCCCCCGTTGAGCATCCCACAAGATATAGCCTGAATCCACTATAAAGCCCTCAAAATGGGCAAGAAGGAGTACAATACAGAACCACGAAGGTTTTGACACCAATCTCTCAAGAAACTAAAAACACTCTTTACAGAACTCTCACAACTATGCCTCACTCAGAGTACAAGGATCTCACTAAGAGATTATTCAGAAAATCATCTAAAAGATGACCAATTGCACACAGAGAGTTTCAAGAACACGAAAATGAATAGAAAAATCTCACACACACTGACCCCTCTGAAACCCTAATGTTTACACTTCTTGTTTATATAAAATAAAACTAAAGGTCAGATCCAACGTTCCAGAGTGTTCCAAGTGTCACACACCCATAGAAGGCGTAAAATGATAACAAATAAAAACACGCTTTCATTCCTTCCAGAATGGTCTATGTATTGGATCATCAACCCGGTTAATTGGGCTCAACTCTCGGGCTCATCTCCAGCTGGACAATTATAGGATGGGCTTAAAAATGCAGCAACCCATATCAATAATCTCCACATTTGCTCCATTTTTAAGACTTTATATTTGTGGATTCAAGCTCTATCTGAGTTCATCTACTCTGGTTATCTGTTACAAAATAAAAAGACTAGTTAGTTTCAAGACTCAATGGTCTCAAAGAATCTTGAAATTTATTCAATGGTATTACCTTGGTGCCTACATCTATTGGATTTACGTTAGTGTGGATTTTAACCAGTTTCATATCACACCTTTCAATTACATCCCTAATAAACCGAAACTTAACATCTATGTACTTTGATCTATCATGAAACATAGTGTTTTTACTCCAAAAATAGCACTTTGATTATTTGAACATAGCTCCACCTCATTTCCAGTAAATCCTAATTCATTTAATAAACCACTTAACCGCAAACCTTCATTAACAACTTTTGTAGCTACTATGTATTCAGTTTCAGTGGATGACAGAGCAACTAATTTTTGAAACTGTGATTTCTAGCTGATACGTGTGTTGTTTGTTACATAAAAGTATGCAGAGGTAGATTTTCTATATCACAGTTCCCAGCAAAATTAGAATCAACATATCCTTTCAATTCAAAGCCATTTTTATCAGGTCTAAACATAAGCCCTAAGTTTTGGGTGCCTTTTAAATATCTGATTAGGTGTTTCATTGCTTTCCAATGAATTTCTCCTAGATTACTCATAAATCTACTTAGAACACTTACAATAAAAGTAATGCCAGACCTAGTACATACCATAACATAAATAACAGATGCTACTGCATTAGCATAAGGCACATTTATCATTCTGTTATATTCATCTTTAGTTTTTAGTGACTGAATTTCAGATAATTTCACACATGCAGATAAAGGAAGACTGACAAGTCTAGATTCATGAAGTGAAAACATTTTAACAACCTTTTCTATGTAAGATTCTTGTGTTAGAAATAATGATCCATCTATTCTGTTTATTTTTATTTGCATTCCTAGTATTTTTCTAGTAGGTCTTAGATCCTTCATTTCAAATTCAGATTTAAATTTCTTCTTTAAAGAATCAATTGTAGCTTATCAGAACCAGCTAGGAGCATAACATCAACATATAAGAGCAAATAAAAGAATTCAGAATTTCCAACACATTTAAAGCAGAAACATGAATCATATTCAGATTTGTTAAATCTAATGCTTTATAAAAATAAGTCAAATCTCATATACCATTGCCTAGGAGCCTGCTTCAGACCATAGAGAGATTTTTTTCAGGTGGCACACAAAGTTCTTTTCCTTAATTTCAAAACGCTTTAGTTGAGTTATGTATATAGTTTCATCCAAAGTACCATATAAGAAGGCAGTTTTTACATCCAGCTGTTCCAATTCTAAGTCAAATTGTGCTATTAAAGCTAATAGAACCCTAATGAGGTATATTTAACAACTAGTGAAAAGATATCATTATAGTCCAATCCTTCTTCTTGTGCGAAACCTTTGGCCACCAACTTAACTTTATATTTTTTATCACCTCCTTTTATATTACCTTCCTTAATTTGATATAGCCATTTACAGTCAACCAATTTACAATTAGAAGGTTTTTCTACAAGATCCCATGTCTGATTTTTATATAAATAATCCATCTCTTCTTGCATTGCTGCAAGCCATTTTTTAGATTCTTTACAGCATACGGCCTCTTCATAAGAAGCAAGTTCAAAGCTTAGAGATTCTGATTCAGTTTGTTTAGATACATAGTTTGCATGTAGGTATCTAGAAGGAGGTCTTATTCGTCTTCTTTCTCTATCTCTAGCAAATTGGTAATCCTGCAAGCTTGAAGCAAAATCCAAAATGCGATTCTCATTTAAGTCTTCTTATGGTATATCTAGGATTCTGGTTAAGGCAGCTCCACCTCAATCTGAGTTTTATTTTGTTCACATTTTGAGTCTGTCTCTAACTCAGTGGACACAAAGTCCTTTTCAACCAATATCTCTTTATTCTTGTCACTAAGACAAGGGAACAAATTCTCATTAAAGATAACTGACCTACTAACTATCACTTTATACCCTCCTATCTTTTTTAACCATAGTCTATAACCTCTAATGCCTTCTCCATACCCCAAAAAAATATATTTACTAGATCTGGGATCAAGCTTAGAACCAATTTGGTGTGAATAGGCTTCACATTTGGATGTTCTAAGATAATTAGGCATATACCCAGTCTAGAGTTTTTTTGATATTTTACAATCTACAGAATTTGAAGGGCTCCTATTTATAAGATAACAGGTAGTTTTCACAGCTTTCCCCAGAATATATTAGGCAATCCAGAACTGATTAACATACATCTAGTCCTTTGAAGGATGGTTCTATTCATCCTTTCAGCAATTCCATTTTGCTGAGGGGTATAGATGACAGTCTGTGCCTTTAAATTCCATTATTGCTACAAAATTGATCAAATTTAACATTACAGAACTGTAGGCCATTAGCAGTTCTTAATATTTTTATCTTCTTATCCGTTTGATTTTCTATCATGATTTTTCAGTCTTTAAAGGCCATAAATGTGTCTGATTTATTTCTCAATAGGAGAACCCAAGTCTTTCTAGAAAAATAATCTATTATGAAAAGATAATATTTGTAGCCTTAGGCTGTGCAGACAGGTATAGGGCCCTAGAGGTCACTATATATGTAATTAAAAGTATTCTGGGATTTATGTATGCCAGTAAACAGCAATCTGTTTTGCTTTCCCAAGATGCAATATTTACAAAGGTTAGCTTATGAACATCGTCTTCCCAAAAATACTTCCTTTGAAAGAAGTTTTAACCCTTTTTCGCTAAGATGACCAAGTCTCCTATACCATAATTCTGATCCATCAGTATGAGTCACTAAGCTCACAGCAGTACTAGGGAAAACACATTCAACACTTACTAGATAAATTTCATTAATCTTAGGTGCATTAATGATAGGGTTCGGATTTTTCATTATGTTTGTAATACCTTTCTTGATTTCAATTTGATAATTTTCATCATCTAGGATCCCTAGGGAGATAAGGTTCATTTTTAGGGTAGGGACATATCTAACATGTTTCAATAGTAGTATTTGGTTATTCTCTAGTTTTAGAACAATGTTTCCAATCCATTCCACTTCACATGACTCATTATTTCCCAATTTTACAAAACCTTCACTTAGTTTTGAAAAATTAGAGAACCACCTAAGATTAGGGCTCATATAAAAGGAACAACCTAAGTCAAGGACCCAGTCTTGATTTGTTCTTTCATAAAAGGACACATAGACAACACCAATGTTGATCCCTTCTTCTTTGTAAGAAACATCAATGGCAGAAGAACCATCACCCTGGTTGGGTCCACTTCTTTGGTCATTAGCCTTTTTAAAACAATCCTTAATAAGGTGGCCTGTCTTACCACAATAATAACATTTTCTATTTTTGTCATTTCCTTTGATGTTCTTCTTGCCCTTTATGTAACACCTCGAATTTTTCTTAATATTTTTCATATGGACCTAAACTTAATATTTATCATTTAGCAAATGAAATAATCCATGTCTAGATTT